AAAAATTACCTAACTGAAAGAAATTAGAACTTAAGTGCCTCCTGGTTTTTAGACAATGCCCTGGTCATCCTACAGACTTTGGCAGAGCGACTTTATGGGGACATGGCTTCTTGAGGTGAAGTTTTTCCCTCCAAATTTCCCCACTCCTCTCCTGCAGCCCATGGACCAGCAGGTTATTTCAACTTCAGAAACTGTACACAAAAGCTCTGTTTGAAAGGGCTTTGTAATGACCTCAGAAATCAACTGACTCTAAGAGAGTTTTGGAGAGATCACTTTAATATCCTCAATTGTGTAAACCTTATAGGTAAGGCTTGGGAGGAAGTGACAAAGAGGACCTTGAAAATCTGCTTGGAAGAAACTGTGGCCCGAATGTGTAGACAAAAGGGATTTTGAAGGGTTTGGGGCTAACCCCGAGAATCCTGTGCCAGTTGAGGAATCCATTGTGGCATTGGGAAAGTCCTTGGGGTTGGAGGTTAGTGGGGGAGGATGTGGAAGAGTTGGTGGAGGAGGACAATGAAGAATAACCCCTGATGAGCTGCTAGATCAACTTCAAGAGCAAGAGGCCACACCTGAGGAAATTGCTTCGGGGGAGGGGAGAGAGAAATTGAAGAAGTTGCCTACTTCAAAGATTAAGGAAATCTTTTGCAAAGTGGCTTGAAGTGCAAACCTTCATGGATGAAAATCACCCTCACACAGCTATTGCAAGCCGTGCTGGTGATTATTACACTGACAATGTTGTGAAAAACTTTAGGCAAGTCATAAAAAGGGAAAGGAGGTACAGGCCCTATGGACAGATATCTTGTGCGAAAGAAGTTTCCCGTGACTCTGAAGCTGGCCCTGTGGCATTAAAAAGGAAGAAGGGAAGTAACCCCAGAAAGGACTTACTACCTCAAGTCCTAATGGAAGGGGGATTCCCCTTCTAAACACTAACACACTCTCCCCCTCCTCCCATCCATCAATCATCACCAGATCTTCAATAAAAGTAAGTGTCATTTAATTGTGCATGCCTTTTTCGTTTGTGTGTATTAAAAATTTAAAAATTTCATGTGGTAAAAAAATTTTTTTTCATACTTTTGGGCGTCTTGCACGGAAATTTAATTTTTTTTTCCATTATTTCTTATGGGGAAAAATTCATTCGCATAACGATTATTCGCATAACGATGAGCCCTCTTGCACGGATTAAAAATCGTTAACCGGGGGTCCACTGTATATATTATATATATATACACATACACACACACCACACACCACAACACACACACCCCACCACCCCCCCCCACACACACACACACACCACAAAAACACACCCCACACACACACACACACACACCCCACACACACACACACACACAAAACACACACACACACACACCACACACACACACACACACACACAAAATGCACATGCACACACATGCAATGCACACACACACACACGCACACACACCTACACACCTATGCACACCTATGCCCACCTACACCTATGTACCTACCTACCTACCTCTGGGTTTTCTTCTATTTTCTTACTAGTTCTTGTTTATTTCCTCTTATCTCCATGGGGAAGTGGAACAAAATTCTTCCTCGGTAAGTCATGCGTTTCGTAAGAGGCAACTAAAATACTAGGAGCAAGGGGCTAGTAACCCTTCTGTATACATTACTAAAGTTAAAAAGAGAAACTTTTGTTTTTCCTTTTTGGGCCACCCTGCCTCAGTGGGATATGGCCGGTTTGTTGAAAAAAGAAAAGGTAAATGCTAGGTAGGTAGTAGGTTGGTAGACAGCAACCACCCAGGGAGGTACTACCATCCTGCCAGGTGAGTGTATAACGGAAACCTGTAATTGTTTTACATGATGGTAGAATTGCTGGTGTCCATTTTTCTGTCTCGTAAACATGCAAGGTTTCAGGTACGTCTTGCTACTTCTACTTACACTTAGGTCACACTACACATACATGTACAAGCATATATATATATACACACCCCTCTGGGTTTTCTGCTATTTTCTTTCTAGTTCTTGTTCTTCTTTATTTCCTTTTATGTCCATGGGGAAGTGGAACGGAATTCTTCCTCCGTAGGCCATGTGTGTTGTAAGAGGCGACTAAAATGCCGGGGGCAACGGGCTAGTAACCCCTTCTCTTGTATAAATTACTAAATTTAAAAAGAGAAACTTGTTTTTCTTTTTGGGCCACCCTGCCTTGGTGGGATACGGCCGGTTTGTTGAAAAAAAAAAAAAATATAAACACATGCCCCTCTGGATTTTCTTCTATTTTCTTACTAGTTCTTGTTTTTCCTCTTATTCCTCCATGGGGAAAAGTGGAACAACATTCTTCCCTCGGCTAATTCCCATCATATTCGAAGAGGCACAAACATCGCCGGAGCAAGAGGGGCTAGTAACCCTTCTCCTGTAGTACATGACTAAGTTAAAAAAGAAACTTTTGTTTTTTACCTTTTTGGGCCACCCTACCATCAGTGGATTATGGCCGGTATGTTGAAAGAAGAAAAGGTAAATGTAGGTAGGTAGTAGGTAGTAGACAGTAACCACCCAAGAGGTACTACCTTCCTGCCAGTGATGTGAATAAACGGAAACCTGGTAATTGGATGTACATAATGGTAGGATTTACTGGTGTCTTTTTTTCTGTCTTAAAACATTCAAGATTTCAGATACATCTTGCTATTTCTACTTACACTTAGGTTACACTACACATACATGTACAAGCATATATATACACACCCCTCTGGGTTTTCTTCTATTTCCTTACTAGTTCTTGTTCTTGTTTATTTCCTCTTATCTCCATGGGGAAGTGGAACAGAATTCTTCCTCCGTAAGCCATGCGTGTCATAAGAAGCGACTAATATGCCGCAAGCAAGAACCTAGTAACCCTTTCTCCTGTATAAATTACTAAATTTAAAAAGAGAAGTTTTCGTTTTTCTTAATAGGCCACCCTGCCTCGGTGTATAACGGCCGTTTTGTTTTGAAAGAAGAAGAAGAAGTAAATGCTAGGGTGTTGGGGAGAGGGGTAGGATTAAATTATGGGGAATCAAATACAAAATGGGAGTCGACACAATTACTTTTAGCTGATGATACCATGCTTTTGGGAGATTCTAAAGAGAAGTTGCAAAGGTTAGTGGATGAGTTTGGGAGGGTGTGTAAAGAAAAAAAGTTGAAAGTGAACATAGACAAGAGTAAGGTGATGAGGGTATCAAATGAGTTAGGTAAAGAAAAATTGGATATCACATTGGAGGGAGTGAGTATGGAAGAAGTGATTGTGTTCAGATATTTGAGAGTAGATTCATCAGCAGATGGGTTTATAAAAGATGAGGTTAAACATAGAAGTGATGAAGGAAAAAAGGTGAGTGGTGCATTGAGTGTCAGTGGAAAATTAAACAAATATTAACCAGGAGGCAAAGAAGGGAATGTACTAGAGTATTGTGGTTAACCAACATTCTAGTAATGGGTTGAAGCAAATGGGTAGTGAATGCACCGTGAGGAGAGACTGGAGACAGAGGAGATTTTGTTTCCCTAAGGGCACTGTGTGGTGAAAATATTATTCAGAGAATTTTGAAGACTGGAAATTAGGCGGGATGGAGTTACAAAAGTATTATTCAGAGGGCTGAAGAGGGGTTATTGATGTGGTTGGTCATCTAGATAGGATGGAGCAAATAGAATGACTTGGAGGGTGTATAAATCTGTAGTAGAGGGGAGTTAGGGTCGTCCTAGGAAAGGATGGAAGGAAGTGTTAAAGATTTTGTTTGCAATGGGCATGAGGACATTCAGCAGGCATGTGTGGGCTTGTGAGATAGGAGTGAATGGAGATGAATGGTTTTTGGGACCTAACGAGCTGTTGGAGTATGAGCAGGGTAATATTTTGTGAAGGGATTCTGGAAAACTGGTTAGCTGGATTGAGTCCCTGGAGTGGGAGCCTAAAGCTGCCACTTTAAGGGGGGGGGGGGGGGGGGTTGGATATTGGCTGTTTGGAGACACCTAAACTGTCATATTTGGGTGCCTCTGCTAAGACAGTGATTATGTATGAATGATGGTGACCTGGTGGTTAAAGCTCTCGCTTCACACGGCGAGGGCCTGGGTTCAATTTCCAGCCAGAGTAAGAAACATTGGGCGTGTTTTCTTCCACTGTTGTCCTATGTTCCGCATCAGTAAAATGGGTACCTGGGTGTTAGTCAACTGGTGTGGGTTGCATCCTGGGACACTGACCTAATTTGCCCGAAATGTTCAGCATAACAAGGGGCTTTCTATATAGTAGTATGTCACTGATGTCAGCTATGGCCTGTATACTTGCACATGATTTTTTTTTTTTTTTTTTTTTTTTTTTTTTTTTTTTTTTTTCAACAAAACAGGCCGGCGCCCGTACCCACCAAGGCAGGGAGGCCCAAAAAGAAAAAACGAAAGATTCACTTTTTTAAATTTATAATTATACGGAGAAGGGGTTATTAGCCCCTTTGCTTCTCTGGCATTTTAGTCGCCTCATACAACACTCATGCTGTACGGAGGAAGAATTCTGTTCCACTTCCCCATGGAGATAAGAGGAAATAAACAACAACAAGAACTAAAAGAAAAATAGAAGAAAACCCAGAGGATGTGTATATATACAATATATGCTTGAACATTGCATTGTGTAGTGTGACCTATAGTGTAAGAGTTAGCAGTACAAGACGTACCTGAAATCTTGCATGGTTTATAGACAAAAAAAAGGACACCACAATCCACCATTCATGTAAACAATTACAGGCTTTCGTTTTACACTCACTTGCAGGACGGTAGTACCTCCCTGGGCGGTTGCTGTCTACCAACCTACTACCTAGAACCTTGCACATGTACTTGTAGTAAATAAAGATATTATTATTAATATTGTTATATTTTTTTAATTTTTGGGCCACCTTGCTTCGGTGGGAGACGGCCGATGTTTTAAAAAAAAAAAAGTAAATTTTGGTAAGTTCTTTTTATTGCAGTATTTTAAAGTCATTGTTAAGTTTTTAAATTATTTTCAGATTGTGGCTTCAAGGAAGCCTGCAGAAACTTCAGGTTTTAAATCTACAAGGTTGTGAGATGATTGATGATCTTGCCTTAGAGTACTTGGCACAGTGTGCTAGATCAGCTCAGTGCCCTGAGGGTAATGTATTAAATTTTCCACACAGTAACTTCAGTGAGTGTCTTGAAGTGCCTGAAGAAATAAATTATGATGATGGATATGGTAAGGAAGTGTGGACAGTGATGGGGGACCAGGAAGTGTACCGGTTTTGTAAGTATTATAATTGTTGGTGTAGGCACGTGGACAGTCTCCCACTGTCTAATGTAGAGTCTGACCTCTTATGGAATAACAGCTACTCTACAGGTAATCCATGTGAAAATAACCTTTACTCTGTAGATACTCCATGCCAAAATTCAAAGGAGCAGATTAATGTTAATAGAGTTAAAGGAGTAAATTCAAAGCATCTTACTAAAGACTATTCTCAGAGCAGTGACTACTCTCTAAGTTCACAAACAACAACAAAGTCTAATTTTCCATATCCTCAGTTGGAGAGGGATATCGAGGAGATCTGTAGCTATCCTAAGAATTCTGCGTCTTTGGGTGTTGACCATCAGGGTTTGTATTGTAGGTAACAGGCCTATCCACCACCTTCCCAGGCTCACTCATTACTGTTAAAACAACGCCTTGCCAAATATTTGTTCACCAAACCATATGCAACTTGTAATTCTCAATCTCAGTGCTGCTTGGCGGGTCACAGACGAAGGTCACCTGGCTAAGCTGTATGCCATAATCCTTGATAAGTTAAGAAATGTTGAGTTAGTGGGTGTTATCAACTGACAAGGTGAGGAACGGAAATCATTGTGTTAGTGCATGTCCTATCCCTCCAGCCTGAAAACCTTTGGTAATGTGACAACATAGAGTGATGCCCTGTACCCCACACAGGCAAAAGGTTGTGCTAATCTGTGAAATCCAGTGAGAGTGTGCTGCCGCAGTGCAGTAAGTTCTAGATATCATTATCTTGAAAGTCACAACTTAATATTGCTGGTGAATATTTTACAAGGTTTAAATTTTTCACACACTTGACAAGAGAAGAACATGTGTTGTAGTTGTTGTAATAACACTTTTTATATATAAGATACATCTTGGGAGCCACAGTGGGAGTAGTAGGAGCCATACACCAGCATTTACAGTCAATTGCATAGTATTAACATCATTCTTGGCATGAAGTTTGGAAGAGATTACTTTACTTATCAGTATAATCTGTCTATAACCACAGGTTACAAACAAGTCACACACGAGACAACATTGAAAAACTGCATCTCTTTCTGGGAGTTAGGGGTAATAAATTCTTGGATTTGTAACATTGCTGTTCCATTTGAAGGCCATTTGCTGTATATACAACAGAACTCCAGCCAATAACAGCTTTATTCTTAGTGAAATATCATTAATTTTACATGATTAGAGTGCAGTTAAGAGAATATGAACAAGACTGAGATCAAACTTGGATATTCAGAAAAAAAGAAATGCTATTGTCACCTTTCAAAGACTCTGAATATACAGTAAAAGATAAGGATTTGACTTTTTTTTAATACACGGATTCCCTTAACCCAACAATCAGATAACATGGAAGGTGTATTCCTTAGGGCCTGACTCCAACAGTCATTTATACCCAATTATAACTGTAATATTTCTCTTTAAGTAGGACTATAAAGACATACTGGTTTATAAAAGAACTCAGGCCAGTTTATTATTAATCAGACAAACATGCTTTAAGTTCAGTGTATGGTTTGCTGGAAAATGATTCCATCCAAGCTATTGTTAATGCAACCTATGGTTTTCTTAACTGATTATTATGTATGTCTGATTATAATAGCATTGCAAATGAATATATTGAGTTATTGTAGTCCTGTAATCAATTAAACACACACATGCGCGCGCGCGCGCGCGCACACACACACACACACACACACACACACACACACACACACACACACACACACACACACACACACACACACACACACACACACACACACACACACACGATCAGTGAAGAGGCAGGGCCAGGAGCTGAGTCTCGACCTCTGCAACCACAATTAGGTGAGTACAATTAGGTGAGTACGTACACACACACACACACACACACCTAGCCAAGCATGTAAAGAAACTAGAGAAAGTGCAAAGGTTTGCAACAAGACTAGTCCCAAAGTTAAGAGGTATGTCCTATGATGAGAGGTTAAGGGAAATCAACCTGACGACACTGGAGGACAGGAGAGATAGGGGGGACATAATAACGACTTACAAAATACTGAGAGGAATTGACAAGGTGGACAAAGACAGGATGTTCCAGAGACTGGACACAGCAACACGGGGACACAGTTGGAAGCTGAAGACACAGATGAATCAAAGGGATGTTAGGAAGTATTTCTTCAGCCACAGAGTAGTCAGGAAGTGGAATAGTTTGGGAAGCGATGTAGTGGAGGCAGGATCCATACATAGCTTTAAGCAGAGGTACGATAAAGCTCATGGTTCAGGGAGAGTGACCTAGTAGCGACCAGTGAAGAGGCGGGGCCAGGAGCTTGGACTCGACCCCTGCAACCTCAACTAGGTGAGTACACACACACACCCTGTGACGAGCGGGGTCCCACAGGGGTCGGTCCTAGGACCAGTGCTATTTTTGGTATATGTGAACGACATGACGGAAGGGTTAGACTCAGAAGTGTCCCTGTTTGCAGATGATGTGAAGTTAATGAGGAGAATTAAATCTGATGAGGACCAGGCAGGACTTCAAAGAGACCTGGACAGACTGGACACCTGGTCCAGCAAATGGCTTCTCGAATTAATCCTGCCAAATGCAAATCATGAAGATAGGGAAGGGCACAGAAGACCACAGACAGAATAGGCCCAGGGCCAAAACACGCAAACCTCACTCAAGGAGAAAGATCGGGAGTATAAACACCGCGCGTCCTCCGGAAGCACACATCAATCAGATAACTGCTGCAGCAATGGGCGCCTGCAAACCTAGAACACATTCCGACACCTTAGTAAGGAATCATTCAAGACACTGTACACCGTGTATGTCAGCCCAACGAGTATGCACCACCTGTTGGAACCCGCACTTGAAAAAAGCACGTCAAAAACTAGAGAAAGTACAAAGGATTTGCAACAAGGTTAGTTCCAGAGCTAAGGGAATGTCCTATGAAGAAAGATTAAGGAAATCGGCCTGACGACACTGGAGACAGAGGGTCAGGGGAGACATGATAACACATATAAAATACTGCGTGGAAAGACAAGGTGGACAGGACAGGATGTTCCAGGGAGGGGACACAGAAACAAAGGCCACAAATGGGGGGGAAAAGAAAAAATTTGTCATTAAAGGAATATTAAGGAAGAAATTTTCACCCCAAAGGAGTTGAAGGCCATTTTTGGAAAACCCCTTAAAAAAAAGACGTAAGTGGAAAAAGGAAAAAGGAAACCAAAAATTTTTAAAGCCAGATTAAAAAAGCCCCATGAAAAAAGGGGGAAATGGGCCTAGAAAACCGGTAAAAAAGGTGGCGGGGAGACATGAAAAACAAAAAATTTTGGTGGAAAAAACAAACACACAACCAAACACAAAACAAACCACAAAAAAACCCCCAAAAAGTCAAGAAAAAAAACACAGACAAAAACAAAAGCCAAAAAACAACAACCAACACAAAACAAAAACACAAACAAAAGGGGGCCCAAACACCAAATCCCAACAACCCCCCCCAAAACCCCCCAAAAACACCACACACTCACCACACACACCCCAAAACCACACAGCACACACCCCACCACCACACCCCCACCCCAACAACACCACACAACACACACACACACACACACCACACACACACACCACACACACACACACACACCCCACACCACCACACACACACACCACACACACACACACACCACACACAACACAAAAACACCACACACACACACACCCCACACACACACCACAAAACAAAACCACACACACACCACACACCCCACACACCACACAAAAACACCCACCACACAAAACACACACCACACACACACACCAACACCCCACCCCAAACAACAACACACCCACCCCCACCCACACACACACACCACACACACCCCACAACACAAAACACCACCCCACCAAAACACACCAAAACCACACACCCCCAACACACACACACCACAAAAAACACCCCCAAAAACCCCAAAACCCACACCACCCCAACCACCCACAACCACAACACACACACACCACACCACACAAAACCAAAACCTCACACCCCACAACAAAACCACACACCACACCCCACACACACAAAACCACAACACCACCCCACACACCCCCCACACAAAAAACCACACCCCACACACCACCAAAACCCCAACACCACACACACACAACCCACACACCACCACCCCACACCCCACACCACACACACCCCCACCCACACACACACACCCACACACACACACCCACACACACACCCCCCCCCACACACAACCACACACCACCCCCAAAAACACACACCCCCAAAACACACACACCACACACACCCACCACACACACACACCACACATAAAACACACACACCAAAACCACACACACCACACACACACCCCAAACCACACACACACCACACACACAAAACCACACACACCACCACACACCCCCACCCACACCCCACACCACACACAAAAACCCCACACACACACCCCACAAAACCCCACACCACCCCACACTCCACCACACACACAACCCACACACCCCACACACCCCACAAAACACCACACACCACACACCCCACAACCCCAAAACACACCAACACACACACACACACACACCACACACCCCAACACACCACACCCCACCACAAACACACACCACACACCCCAACAACACACAAACACCAAACACACCACACCCCCGACCCCCACCACACACCCCACCACACACACACCACCCCACAACCACACAACACACCAACACACACCCCAAAACCCCACACACCACACACACCCACACAACACACACCCCTCACAACACACCACACCACAACCACCCCACACACACCCCACACACCCCACACACAACCCAACACACCCCACACACCCCCACACACACACCCCCCCACCCCACACACCACACACACAACCACCCCACACCCACCCCCAACACCACACACACACACCACACAAAACCCCACCCCACACACACACCACACACACACACCCCCACACACAAAACCCCAAACACACCAACCAAAACCACCCCACCACACCCCACACCACACACCACCCCACACACCACACACACACCACAAACACACCCACACACACACCACAACCCACACCACACCCCACACCACACACACACCACCCCACACACCACAAAACACACCACACACACACCACACACACCCCACCACACCCCAACACAAACCCACACACACACCACCACCCCCCACACACCACCCCACCCCACACCCCCACAACACACACCACACACACACACCCCCAACCCACACCACACACACACACCACACACACACCCCAAACACACACCCACACACACACACCACACACACCCCACCCCCAAC